CTGAAAAATCAGTATGCAAACCATCCAGACGTGCAAAAATCAGCAAACCTATTAAAAGGAGCCAGAATCACACAAAGTCTGAAAAATCAGGGATCTTGTAGCACCTTTGAGACTCACTGAAAGCAAGAAGCTGGTAGCACAAGGTGTCCCAGGATCCCTTTATATGCTATAAAAGGCTGTTCAAAAACACCCCAAATAAGAGAAATCAGGCACCCTTCCCATGTTGGCAAGGTCAAAACAGGCCCACAGAAGGGCTCCTTCCCAAGTCGAGTATGCAAAGCATAAAAACCAAATTTGCAAAGCAGAAATAAAAAAAAGGAGGAAGGTAAAGCATTCTCAGGTTGCAAGAAGAGAGTGGCATCTCTTCTGCCTGGCATGCTCCATTTGCAATGCCAGGGCCAGTAGCCATTGCCTCCTGGCCACTAAACCCCATGGCACCCTCCTTGCTTCCCAGTTGGCAAGCGGATGCCCGGTCTGGGCTAGCAATGCAGTGGCTTTGCCCATCTCTCACCTGCCACAGCTGGAATGGGCACTGCCCAGGCCAATGCCATGGCCAGGACGGTCAGTCCCACTAGGGACACTTGCCCTGGCATAGTGGCCTCTTCTTGGGCCGGAGAGGCTTAAGCCATGTCTGAGGTTGAGGCTTCTTCCAAGGGAGAAGAAAATGATCTCTTCTCCTCCTTTGCTCTCTCCAACACCGATCCGCCTCTTTTGGCTGGAGAAACCGCCTGGGAAAATCCAACCCATTCTTGTAGGGATTTTATTGCATTTGTTTTTGCAGCAGATCATTTCCTTGTCCTGGGCTCTGTTGTCTTTGTCTTAGAGGGATTTTGCTGGGCATAGTCATCGTTAACCATTAATTCAACATTTTATACCCCTCTATTAAAATTCCTCATTCTTGAGGCCAGTTCTTCGCTATAGTTTTTCACCTCCATTCAATCCCAAGCTTTCCTCTTTTCTCCAAACTTTTTAATAATATTTTATTTATAACCTTTACAACATATAAATAAAACATAGCTAATGGCATTATTTGCACACTAGTCATTTCTAGTAATTAGTTATATTTGTGAGAATGAAAACCTTCTGCATTCATAATGGTTGGGAACCAATTACTTCCTTTTAACTCTTAACTTTGTTATTTTCTTTTTACCTTACGTAGTATTTAAATCACACTATCCACAGCAAAACTTTTTGAATGTTTGAAGTTTTTCACAGTTCTTCTTCTTCTTCTTCTTATTATTATTATATTAAACATAAAAATATACATTAACATATACATCAACATTAACATTGCCAGCCACCCAACATTGACACATACATTAACACATATATCAACATCTAATAAACATACATATATAAATATACCACATATATAATTGATTCCGATTGTAGATCTTGCTATTGCTACATATATATATATATATATATATATATTAATTTTCTTTAAACATATAATCGTTGAATTACTTGTGCAGAATTTAATATCTTCAATTCCTTCTGTACCTATTGACTTGTCTCTAACCTATTACTCTCTAATCCAAATTCCCTTTCCTTTCCTTTTCAATTACTTTCAATTACTTTCCCACAATTCTTCTATTTCAAAACTTTTGGAATTTTACTCGACGGCTTGGCACTGCTTTATCTGTCATGTCTCTATCCGATGGGATCCTGGGATTTGTAGTTTCTAGTGGCATCAGGGCTCTCTGAGGCTGCATCCGCACTGCAGAAATAATCCTGGTTGACACCACTTTAACTTCCATGTCTCAATGCTATGGAATTCTGGGATTTGTAATTTGTTGTGGCACCAGAGTTCTGTGATAGGGAATGCTAAATGTCTCCCAAAACTGCAATTTATGCTTTTCATTTATTTTCATATTGTTGAGTTGTATTGCTGAGTAGTTGTATTTGTTATAATATGTATTGATGAGTTGTTATATTTTGTGTTAGAGGTTATGTTATGTGTAAATAACTAATAAAAAATATTTTTTTTAAAAAAATAAACCCTCAATTCCAAGAATTTCATAGCTTTGAGCCATGGTGGTTAAAGCAGTGTCAACCTGGATTATGTCTGCAGTGTGGATGCAGCCCAAGTTTCACAATCTTATCTATTTTGAATGATAGCTCTGCCTCCGGTTGTTATCTGCCTTCAAGTGGTTTCGGTCTTATGATGACCCTAAGGTAACCCTATCATGGGCTTTTCTTGACCAGTGCCTTCAGAAGGGGTTTGCCATTGCTATCTTCTGAGGCTGAGAGAGTGTGACTTGCCCAAGGTCACCTAGTGGTCTTCCATGGCTGAGCCAGGATTCGAACCCAGGTCTCCAGCGTCGTCGTCCAACTCTCAAACCACTACACCACACTGGCTCTTGCCTAATTCTAGAGAAGATACTAAAAATGCAAAGATATAAAACTGAATGCCAAAGTTAGGATCGCCTAAGTTTCCCATTGCCATCCAGGGAAAAGGCAACCCAGGGCGCATCTGCACTGCAGAAATAGTGCAATTTCACACCCCATTAAGTGCCATAGCTCCATCCTAGGTAATCTTGGGATTTGCAGTTTTGCAAGGTCTTGAGCCTTCTCTGCCGAAAAGTGCGGGTGCCTGACCAAACTACGAATCCCATAATTAACTTTGTTTTGGTGGCTGGATTTGCTGAAAGACCTTTGACACTTGGCTCAAGCGGCCTTAAATTAATCAGCAACAAGTTTCCTGAATCACCAACTTAAGGATATCACAAATTGAAAACAGGGCTTCCTTCTTGACCTTTTGCTGCAATGCCTTTTTCCTGAATCTGAATCTGTCATTTGTTATGGAAGATATTCTTTTTTCCTCCCAGATTTTGGAATATTTGCCTAGACAGAATGAGAGATCTTAGGAGATGAGACCCAAGAAAATGAAACACGAAATTCATTTATGTTTTGCATATCACATAGCCTGGAGGTCATTTTCTGCAGAAGATACAATTTTGTGCATGAAACCAAAGTTTGTGGACACTGGGCCATCAGACAGCAAAGGTGACACTCTCTCAGCCATGTGTGGATTTTGGGATTCTGGAGAAGGGAGACTCAACCTGTATTTCACTCTTTTGGTGACTTCGTCTCCCTCCATATATATAT